AGGTGCTTATACATGGGGAAATACGGTAAGTCAAATGATTTCTTATGATGTGCAATGATGTTAAGAAAAAATATGTTTATATACACCAAATTTTACATCTACATTTCTATTCAAGACGTTATAATAATATTGTTTCCTGAGGCAGGACAAAACTTAATTATAGAAAACCTGGCTTTTTGGAGCCAAATAGTTAAGCTAAGCAGAAGGAATTTAAAGATAATTTTTTGCCAATTTGTTTCGAATTGATGAGGCATCGTCTATTGCCAGAGCTTTGAGGAACTTAAAAGTTTTCCCACGACGAAATCAAAAGAATTCATTTTTTTATAGTGTGATTCTTCTGCATAATTCATGTGTAAATTCACATTTTAAATGGACTATAAAACAATTGAATCGGATCATATGCGTAAAGCGAAGGTATTTCACCATTCAGCAACACAGCCGATAACTCGAATAGCAGGCCTATTATTCCCAAGGCAACCAATGGCGGTAGTCGTTTTCGCTTAGATTATAAGATAATATCGAGTCTTGCTGCCAGTATTTTTTAAATGAAGTAAATAGGAATGACTTAATAAGGTGAATACAATCTATGAGATGTATTTACCCCATTTCGTTTAAGGTGATAAGGGAATTTCAACAATGGAATTTTCAATGGAAACGTAAGGCTTACTTATACAATTGTGGGAAAACTCAATTACCAGTCCCCTTGTCACCTTAAACGAAATAGGGGGAATACACCTCATATATGTGATTTACTGTTAGTCTCATAAACCTAGTTATAAATGGAAAAAAACACTTGTATGACATTTTGGAGGAATTAAGCTCCTTATCCAAACAGATATTATGCAATCTTGCTTTAGAATGGCCTCGCATATGCTTAGCATATTTAAAGAAAAAAGTCTTTGAAAATCAAAATATATCTAGGCGTATCGTAGGATGGGCGACCTAATTTGTCACAAGATTTGGCAAATCCAAATTAGATTCTCTGATAATTGACCCTTTTTGCCAATTGTGAAAATGTGATGTGAAATATGGTCAGTCAAAATATACAAAAAAATTTAATTTTTATATTGAATAAAATCTTACTTGAGTCAGGGTTTCCTTACTTTCTCCGCCCAAGAACGATCGTAATTTACCTCGCCCGAATTCTCGAGCAGATAGAGAATGTGAAAGGAAGATACGAGCAAATTGAAGGGCCTGTTCGGCTGCTATTATCCAAGCTGATTCACCGAGTTCTCCCGTAATTGCAAGATAGTTTATCCAGACATTAGAAACAACATGAAGGTACTTGGAAGACCAATTAAGGGCGCATAGACCCGGTTCATTTGCAATTGTCTCTGCCTGTTGCCTTATAAGAA